TTTCTTCATCGCTGGCATTCCTTCATTGGTGATCAATGGGTGCTTCAGTTTCTGTGAGAAGGAATCCTTCTCCAGTGTCTTTCCTCACCTCCCATCTTTCCTACCCAGTTTCCTTCCCTCCATCTTGAGATCCCAAGATCAGCCAGCATCTGTCCACAGTGGTTCCCGAATTGCCCTTGCAGTGGGCCGTCGAACCCTGTTCCCTTCCTGGTGTTTTTATTCCCACATTTTCATTGTCCCCAAGATAACCAGGGATTGGAGGCTGGTTATCAACTTATCCCTCCTCAACTGCTTCATTTCGCTACCCTGGTTCACCATAGAGCCTTTTCTCTTCCTGAGATGGGCGTTTTCTTCAGGGTTGTGGATGATCAAAATGGATGTCTCGAACGCTTACCTACTTATACTGATATCACCTCATTCTTGTCCATCTTGGGGTTGTTTATCAATTTTGGGCCCTCCCGTTTATACTTGCCTCGGCACCTTAGGTATTTTGCTAATTAGTCCAAACTTTAGTTCAACATCTCCATGCTCAGTGGCTGCAATTTCATTATTTCATGGCTGACTGACTTCTTCTGGCTCATTCTGAACAGGAATCGGCCAATCATACTCGGCAGCTCATTTCTGTGGTGGCTCTAGTGGGCTGGTTAATCAAACTGGAAAAGTCCTTCTTCAGACACACTCAATATCTTGTCCATTTGGGGTCTTTTTCAATACTCATATCAATTGAGCCCAGCCTTCTTCTTTAGAGCTTCTTTCAATGGAACTGTTGGTTCACCACACCCTCTTGGCTCAGTCACTTTCTGTTTGCAAGGTTCCATTGCTTTGGGGGATGTGGTTATTAATGACATCACTGGTCTGTCTTGGTCATGCCCATATGAGATCCCTTCAGTGGGTGCTTCATGATTGATGGAACCTTGCTCAGGATTCTCTTTCCACCCCCATAAACCTTCCTTTTTCCCTGCAAGGCAATCTGCTTTGGTGGTTGGACAAAGCTTATATGACAGAGGGCATGCCACTTCTTCCTGGATCTATATCTTTTCATGGATGCATCCCTCAGGGGGGGCATGGGTCCATCACCTAGAGGCTTCAGGCCATTGGTCTGTGGGCAAAACCATTTTGCATATCAATGGTGTCTAACTTCTAGCAGTATGTCAGGTGTTGCATCACTTCATTCTTCTCATCATCATTGTCTGGTTATGGTTCATTTGGAGAATTCTATAATGGTACATATCAACCATCAAGGGGACACCCAGTCCAGAGATCCATGTTTTCAGACACTGAATCTCTTATACTGAGCCCATGCACATCAGATTCATCTTATTGCGTGTCATGTGCCAAGTGCTTTCAATCATGGATCATCTTTTGCACCTTGACTGGATATATCCCACAGAGTGGTCATTAGAACCCCTTGTTTTGACGGATCTTTGCCATTGGTAAGATTCTCTCCACGTGAATGCCTTTGCTATGGGATTCAACAACAAGTTACCTCTATTTTGGTTACCTGTACGTCATCTCCAGGCTCTGGCAGTCGATGCTTTCAACCAGGATTGGTCATGCAAGTATCTTTATGTGTACCCACCCATCTGATTACTTCATTGGGTGACTTCTCTCATCCATTCCACTCCTTGTTGGGTCCTTTTGATTGGTCCTTATTAGCAAGCTCAGCCTTGGTTTCCACAGTTACAGCGAATGCTTCTCTTCCCCTTTCTCCCTATCTTCTTCATCAACCTTGGTCACATCCTGCATCTTCATATCTGGCTTTTGTCTGGTCCTTGGCGAGAGGATCCAGTTTCACATGATGAGTCACTTTCTTGTTAGCTAGTTCCATCTGTCCATCTTCCATGGAAGTGTACCAATTCAAGTGGAAGGTATTCCATTACTGGTGTACAACTAGAGGGTTTCTTACTGACTAGCCTTCTGTGGCTTGTGTTGCAGAATTTCTCACCTCACTCTCTGACCGTGGTTCTTCGGTATCCTCGTTTTCGGGATATTGAGCAGCCTTATCCCATGTCTTTTGCTTTTTTGGATGGTGTAGAGTTTTTACTTCTTCTGTCCTTACCATGCTTGTGCGTTCCTTCCAGATATGTTGCCCTCCCAGATGAACTACCATTCCAGATTGGGATGTTAATGTGGTCTTCCATTTCCTTACTTTTCCTCTGTTTGAACTGCTTTTCTCGTGTTCTATGTTTCATCTTTCCTTTAAAATACATTTCCTTTTTCTCTTTCCCTGTGGACGTCGACGGTCTGATTTGTTTACCAATGATGTTTCACATAACCTTTATCACCCTAACTATCTTCTCCTTTATTGAAATTGTTCCTTTCTCCTGAAGGCTTCAGCTGCTCGGAAGGGTGGTTCTTCCTTTTTTTTTATTACATTTCCATTTCCCATCTTTACTCTCGACCGGATACTGATAGGCTCTTCATTTTTATATTACCCATACTGCTTCCTTCAAGAGTACATGTTCCCGACTCTTTATCCCCTGGTAATTATCTTCCCTCCATGATCTTTCACTTTATGCCCTTACCAATTGGATTCTTCTTTTGGTTCAATTGGTCTATTCCTCCTTACCTTCTTCCTCCCAGAATTTGTTCCAGGTGTCCTCTCATCAGATTCGACGCCTCACTCTTTCCCTTGCTTCTCATCTTCGTCGTCCAATAGAGGAGATTCTGCAGTCCAGCATGTGATTACACCCAGTACATTCATCTCCCACTATCTCCATCATATCTCAGTTTTCTCTTCGTCGGGGTTTGGTCTGCCACCTGTGGCCATTCTTCAGACTTCGGTGCAACTCTAACTGGTAAGTTTTTATTCATACTTTCTTTTCAGGGGCCTTTATTTCTTTATCCCATGGATCCTGCTCTGTGATGAGTGGTGCCTCACCAGGTATTCTTTAACTCAAAATCTGCACTGTCCAGCCCTGTTGACTTTCTCTTTATCTTCTATGGTTTTGCATGCTCACTGTTGAGATGTGTGTTCCACAAAATCACATGTAGGTGCATGACCTTGTGATATTTTGCTTCATAAGCATGCCCGATCCAGACCATACCACCCATGGACTGCAGGGATAAAGCAGAAGTGGATTGCAGCCCATCCCTGCAATGCCTGGAGTGAATAACTCAGTATGGTCTGCTTTTCAAATTAAGATTTTGTGGTCACCCATTGCACTGTCTCAGGTGATGATGTTCTTCTAGACTCTCCATAGCATTGTCATCATCCTTACTTCAAGTGGAGTATGGGAGTCCTTACCACTTTCCAGTTCCAAGCTGCTGGGCTGGTTGACCATGGAGGCACCCTGCTAAATGAGTTCCACACAACCATTCAGTTACATGTATATGACGTGATATTCTTCTATTTGCGATAACCAATGATAATGGAGTGAGATGTCAGAATGCAGTTTTACCCCTTTGATTGGGAGCCCTCATCCTACCCTCGCATGGATGTTGGTACCCTGTGGGCAGGTTTTGGATTTAGAGTGAACTGATCAACATAAGTCCTTACACAGGTTTTGGGTTGTCTATCTTTCTCCCTCAATTTTCTCTGTCTGTGTTGTGGGTCACAGTGGTGGGATTGTTCCAGCTCTGTCCTTGGCTATTCCTCATTTTCTCTTCTTATGGGATGTTATTGCCATTTGGATAGTCCCGACCTGTTTCACAGTTGGGAGAGCTGATTGTATGTGATAACCATCCTTCCGATACCATATGTCAATTTCCTGGATCGATAGCTTAGAGCCAATCCTCGTGTCATACCCTGGAATTGGAGTAGTTCTCAATCCCCCAGTTTTTGGGTTTGAGGTGAAAATGGTATGAACCTCATTCTACCTTTGCGTGGTCCATCCTCCTTATCAATGTTGGATTCTAGCTAATCTTGTGAGAGGAGGTAAGTACTGCATCAGAAGTTATAATTTTCCTATACTAAACATGTATTTCCGATAGGCACTTACTACCTCTCACCCTTCCTCCAGAGCTAACACTTTCTGCCAAACTTTGAAGTGATAGTTTGATAGAAGAGTGTAGAGGGAGTTACATGCATCTTGTGCTCACCCTTCCTTCAGTGCTAACACTTTCTGCCAAACTTTGAAGTGATAGTTTGATAGAGAAGTGTAGAGGGAGTTACATGCATCTTGTGCTCACCCTTCCTCCAGTGCTAACACTTTCTGCCAAACTTTGAAGTGATAGTTTGATAGAGGAGTGTAGAGGGAGTTACATGCATCTTGTGCTCACCCTTCCTCCAGTGCTAACACCTTCTGCCAAACTTTGAAGTGATAGTTTGATAGAGGAGTGTAGAGGGAGTCACATGCATCATGTGAGCATATCATGCTCCTATTGGTGAGCATGATGATTTGCATGAGAGACATGTTGGAATCTTGCAATTCCAGTAGAGGGGAGCAGAAGGCTTGTGGCATGTGTAGAGAAAAAGTTAGCATTGAACAAGAATAGCTAATATTGTGAGAGGATGTAAGTACCTATTGGAAATACCTTTTCAGCATAGGAAAATTATAACTTTGATTTATCCACACAAATCTTCTGAATTAAATTTCAACTTAATTTTGCCATTTATAACTGGACACAATGTATGAGGAAGGCATAGGGGCCCTTGAGGGTGACAGATGGGGTAGAAATCCAAATGTTGACTTTCTTAAGTCTCTCCACGGAGAGCTCTAAGGTTGGTGATAATCAGTTCAGTGATTTGCCAGTTATAAGCTGACAAACACAGACTTTTGTCAGATAATAGTTTAATTAAGTTAGGTAACTAATCTCATGTGGGTAAAGATATGTCCAACACATACAAATACAAACATTGGATGTTAAAAGAAGAAACATAAATGCTATAGCAAATTTTGTGTAATTGTAACTACAGTAATATGTTGCTACTTTAATTGATGTTATAGCATTACTATTAAAAGGTTTCTACAGCTTTTCAGTGAATTTATATTAAACTCACGGTATATGCAAAGCTTGTTTTTTTAACACGTGTATAAAATCCTATAATGTTTCTCACCTGTTCTCTTCTTTCTTTTACCTTCTGCTTCACTATGGAACAGCTATGCCAGGTTTGTCAGTTTTGACTACTAATACCACTGTTATAATGTGAATTGTTTCCTTTACATTTTTCTAAATACATTTGTTTTCCTATTTAAAATTTTTCCTTTGTATATATATATATATATGTGTGTGTATAGTTAATATGATCATTTTTATGCTCTTATGTATTATCCTTATATATATAGTTTGGCTCAAATGTCTGAAATCATTGAGGGATTCTAGTACACAAAATTGCAACAAATATAACTGCTTATCATTGAGAAACACTGGCTTCACTGGTAATCAACTTTCATGGACTGATATTTAGTTTTGTTCACATGTGATCTATTCTCTGTAAAGCAAACCAATAGTTTGGAACTGGTTTCAAATTTTCTTACAATATCTCTCAATGAGCTCTAAACATCTTCATATAGAATAAAATAAATGGAATATTTTTTTATCATTGTTAGCAACTGGAGTAAAATCGTGGGTAAATATAGAGTTTTTCTTCTGCTTTTTAAACAACTTTTAGTGATACAGCACTAGAAATATTCTGCCAAAAAACTAGTTCTGAAGCCATAGTTGCCCAGTAGAACATTCAAAAGTATGCTATTGGCCATATATCAGAAATGTAATGATTGGCAAGTCAATTAACTCTATTGCCATGAGCATCCTTTACTGAGCATGTCACAAGGTTTTAGTGACTTACATTCAAAATGTAATTAAACTACTTTTTTGTTTATGTTATATTAATTAGTATAGCAAAAATTTGTAGCTAATAATCCATATTTTAATAGTATACAAGTTTTAAGTTCTTAATTTTATAAGGAAATATTTTTTTAAATCCTCAATTTCCCCTAGTGTGAGAAATGTGACACATTTGCTCTAGGCATCCCCTCTTTATTTTATTCACCACTCCTCTAGTATGTATGAAATTGAACGTAAATTACTTACTATAAAATCATCATTGCTCAAACAAACCATAATTTTTATAGCCTTCAATCTTTTGTTACAAAGCCATCAAATAGAAAATCAGACCCCTCTTGCCACACCTACTTGTCACATCCTCTCATATATGCATGACATTAAACAGCATAAAGTGCATTAAAAACTGACCCCAGAAAATGGAAACATGAGGCTAATATAGCATGTGGTGTATGTTCACTTTTACCATGTGCTGTTTGCACCATGTGGATCATATGTACTATGTGGTAGTAACCAGTCAAATTGAGCCACAGCTTGTATCTAATTGTAAGAGCATGACAATGGTTCATTGGTTTGGTTCTTTGTGCCTACAGTGTACTGTTGCTTCCATTTGTTTTTGTGCATGATGTTCATGTATCAGCATTTGCAACACAATTTGAGATATTGCAAGCAGTATTAGAAACATTGTTGATCATGATTTTTAAAACGTTAGTTACTGTACGAGGTGTTAATCTGCATTTTCATTCATGTAGACAGCATAAAGATCTGAATTTTAAATAGAAAGAAATCTTCTTAAAAAATACAGAATTCTGTCACAAAGCATACAGCACACAGAAATACACATTATGTAGCATTATGTTATTGTTCTATAAGAGCTGTAAAATGTGTGAATAAAGTGCCATTTAATTCTTACAGATAAAATGTATATGATACTTATTGTTAATTTTGAACTTTTTTACTCAAATTGGTTTAAAATCCAAAGTCCTGTTTACTTTGTTTCAAATTTTATAAAGGTTTTTTTAAGGTATGTACTAGCTTGTATGAGCAAAAAGAGGAGACTGAATTCTAAGCTTTTGTTATTTACAGTTGGTGATATTATTTATTATTAATCTCAATTTCTTTAAAAGTAGTTTTTTTAAAGTATAATGATTAAAAGTAACTTGCAAGTTTTGTATGTTTTAAAATTTAACTTATTTGCATAAATAGTTTGGATTTTCTAAATGGCATATTAAGATTAATTGTATTTCAATAACATTGTAAGAGTTCCGATTAGTCAGTGGTAATTGACAATCGAAGAAATGGAATATATTGGAATTCTAAAATGAACTTGATCAAAGTAAATGCTAAAACATCATTTCTTTTCATGCAGCTTTCAGCGCTTTATGTTCAGGTAATGTGGAACAACTAATTAGTAGAGACTAGTATATGTAGTTGTGTTTATGTTCAGGTAATGTGGACCTGTTACTTAGTAAAGACTAGTATATGTAGTTGTGTTTATGTTCAGGTAATGTGGAACAACTAATTAGTAGAGACTAGTATATGTAGTTGTGTTTATGCTCAGGTATTGTGGACCTGTTACTTAGTAAAGACTAGTTTGTCTAGTTGTATTGTTTTTCATATATTCTTCACCAGTTACTTAATAGAGACTGTTATGCCTAATTGTATTGTTTAGATATTTTTTACCAGTTACTTAGTAGAGACTATTATGTCTGGTTGTATTGTTCTTCAGGTATTGTTTACCAATTAATTAGTAAAGTGGACTTAATGTTTTTAAGTATATTAATGAAACCCAATTAAATATTGAGTACAATATTCAATACTTTTAATATAATTTAGAATGTTTAGTTTTGATTATCAGTAGTATTTTTTTTATTTATGGAAGATTGAAGGTTAAATATTTAACAATATGACAGCTAGGAAAACTCAAGATCAGTTTAATTAGATGTTTTAATACAAACAAGCTAAGAGAGAGGAAATAAATTTATTTCTTTGTCTTTATAAAACTGGAATGGAAAATCTGCAAGAGTTGTTATAGACCTGTAATCTCTAAAGAATATTAATGCTCGACTTGAATTGAACATTTTTAAAATTAATGGAAATGTCAACTTACATGATCTTAGTAATTATTGAGAAAGGATGCTAATTTATTTTTGGGTAACTCACTTAAATGAGGATTGTTCTTTGAAATAGTTACTCAAATGAATTTTTTTTATGTATAAAACATCACAATCTCAGCAAAAATAATGATTTTGTTACTTGTGATAAAGAAATCATATTGTTTCTGTACTAATGATTGGCCAGTCTATTAAGTGCCTTGATTGCCAGAGACAAGGAATTTATGATTTATGACTAGTTTATTCTGTACTGTTCCAACAGTTCAACTGGATAAGATAAAGAAAGCATACTTTGTTTGTACTCATCTTGTTATTTATTGAACCTTTAAAGCCCATTAAATATCAGATTTTTTCTAACTCGTTATGAATAAGGCCTGTTGGTTGATGACTGTTTTGACAAATCTAAGAAAATATTATTTAAAATGAGAAGGAAAAAAAGAGTACATTGTGTTATTACTTGACTCTATTATTATTATTGCATCTTAAATCCACCCCGTGTAATGCATATTAAAAAGAATTTACATTAGTGCATATTTATCAAATTCTTAAGATTCTTGAAGAATTGATAGTTTTAATAGCCTTGTGAGAACTTTCTGACTGTAATGGTTATAATTTTATCTGTAGACTAATGCAATTTAAATACAGTGTGCCAAGAGCTTTTATTATCATATTGATAGAAAACAAAGAGAATTTTGTGCATAAATTTTAAGTGAGGTTGCAACAGCTTTTAATAACTCATGCTCCATTTGATTTCTTTACACATGCAGTATAAAATGTTTAAACAGTAAGTGAAAAATATATTTGTTTTTTTTAGGTGCACGTATTTCTCAAAAATTGTTTACCATATTTATTGATGTGCAAACAAACATATTTTGGTAATATACTAGTTTCATTCATGGACATCTACATTTATCTGTTTCATCTATAAGTTAACACGAGTCTAAGATTGTGCTGTTACAGTTAAGTAATGTGTTTCTGCCATGAACATTTCATTTCCAAAAGTATTTTAGTGAATCAAATATAATAATTGGTTTTGGTGATCTGATTTTATACATATTTAATTAATTGAAATCCCTAAAACCTAAATTTTTGTGTTTTGTTCTTATCAATCTGTCATTCAGTAATATCTTATGAATTAATGTAACAAATATTAGGACTGGTTTAGTGGCTGGAGTGCTTGACTCATTTTGCGGGATGCAAGATGAAAATCTGTCCCTGAACATGCTTGCCCTTTCAGCTGGAGGTGCATTACAATGTGATGGTTTATTCCTCTATTTGTTGATAGAAAATGATATAAGAGTTGGAGGTGGGTGGGGTTGAATAGCTGTCTTTCCTTTAGCCTATCACTTCAAAATTAGGGACGATTTGTGGTGATAGCCCTTGAGTAGATTTGTGCAGAAATACAACAAAAAATAAATATTGATTTATTATTAGATTTTTTTTTATCTGTGAAATGATACATATATTATTCTTTTTCAGTATCAAAAACTGTCTTTTAAAGTGTTAATATGAGCATATGTAATCACTTTTTCATTTTAGCCATTCCTTAATTAGCTTTTAAGATTTTGTATGTTGCAATTATTCTTTTATATTAATATATAAATAATGAAGATATAAATGTGAGATTTTAAGGAAAACTCAGTCTTGTATGTAGCAAAAAAATTGTTTCAATGTATATTTGATTAAAGTATTTTTTTAGTTTTATGTAATTTAAAAATGTATCTGGGATTTTTGAACAGAGTCTCACATTGAAAGAGAAAGTTAGCACCCTAAAATTTAAAGAGAAATCATCAGAAGATGCACTGAGTTACAAGAACTTGTTATTATGGATGGTTAGATTGATTCATGCAGATCCCATGCTGATGCTAAATGTATGTATGATCTATAAAAAATTTTTCCTTAGTTATTTCTCATAAAATATACTGTTATCTAATGATCATAATGTGAACTTTGATACAGGGTATATATAAAAATACAAAAATATTTCAAACTATTATCAATAGTCAAAGATAAGAAAAAAGATGAAATCAGATGAATTGATCAACAGTAAATAATAAATGGATTCATATATTATAACTTACAAACTTGGTCAAGGTTAAATTACAAGGTAAAAAAAGTTCAACAATGTTAGTGAACAACAGATTTTCACAAACATAATATTTTACTCCAGATAAGATGCATATTAAAAAATAGATCAAATAATTGACAAATGTTAATGAAGAAGAAACAGAAATGAGGTAATAATGCACAAATGTTTATGTAATGTTTATTACATTTTACTCTAGAGTTACATATCTGTTTAAAAGATAGACTAAGAAGTTTATGCATGTAATAATTGCTTTATCTCTTTTATAATTCTGTTTATAAAATGAAACAGCTTTATTATTGAAATATATATCTATTATAGAATATATGTTGAATGGGTTTGTTATATCAACTTCATAGAATCAAGGGAAAGCAGGACATGAGATACAAAGCAGTACTCAAGAACTTATCAATGGTCTTGTAGCACTTGTGCACCAGACTTCCATGCCTGATGTCTCACAGGAGGCCATGGAGGCTCTGTTAATCCTCCATCAACCTGATAACATTGAAATGTGGAATCCTGAGGCCCCAATTAAGACCTTCTGGGATGTAAGGTAGAGTTTCAAATGTGAATTGACCCTCTTTATATTTAATACTTTATTTCCTGTTAATCATATTTTTTCATTAATGCCCTATTGATTTATGAGTTTTAGTATCAAACTAAAGACTCAGTAGTTATCACTCAATATATGGAGTGTTTTTATGATACATTGATAATATGCAAAAATTAACTTATGTGCAAGTACTATGGTAAGGTTCTTGAAGCTGCGCTCAAGTCACTGTATTCATGAAAACTTAGGCTACTAAACATGACAGTAATGGTTTGTATGCTTAGATGTAATGATTGTTTAATATATTAAAATTTCATTAATGTAGTTTAGAATAATTCTTAGTAACACTTTATTTTTGAGTTTCTTGTATTTTAGTGGTGAATGTAGTTTGAACTTTCCTATGATACGATTAACACCTGGCACAGCATAAAAAGCTGTAATGTGTATAGCTTT